CAAGGGATTTGGGGGATCTGGAAGGATTTGGGGGAGATCCTGAGGGATTTTGGGGATCCTGAGGGATTTGGGAACCCCGAGTGATTTGGGAACCCCAAGGGATTTTGGGGGTGGATCCTGAGGGATTTTGGGGATCCTGAGGGATTTGGGAACCCCGAGTGATTTGGGAACCCCAAGGGATTTTGGGGGTGGATCCTGAGGGATTTTGGGGATCCTGAGGGATTTGGGAACCCCGAGTGATTTGGGAACCCCAAGGGATTTTGGGGGTGGATCCTGAGGGATTTTGGGGATCCTGAGGGATTTGGGAACCCCGAGTGATTTGGGAACCCCAAGGGATTTTGGGGGTGGATCCTGAGGGATTTTGGGGATCCTGAGGGATTTGGGAACCCCGAGTGATTTGGGAACCCCAAGGGATTTTGGGGGTGGATCCTGAGGGATTTTGGGGATCCTGGGGGATTTTGGGAATTCCAAGGTATTTTGGGAACCCCGAGGGATTTTGGCGATCCCGAGGGATTTTGGGGGTGGATCCCGAGGGATTTCTGAAGGGAATTCTGAAGGGGAATCCCCAGGGATTTGGGGGAATTCCAAGGGATTTTGTGGATCCCGAGGGATTTTGTGGATCCCGAGGGATTTGGGTGATCCCGGGGGGGGTCGAGGGGACCGTTCCGGGTGGATCCCTCTCCTCCCAGGGGGGCTCCTGGTGGGATTCCCGAAAAACCCCCCCGGCAGCCGCCTGCTGCCCCCTCCGGAGCTGGAATATTACATCCAACAATTCCGGAAATCTGGATTCAGGTGGGATCCCGGGATCCACCCCCCGATCCCCCCAGAGCTCCTGGGATTCCCGGGGTTCCCTGGAATTCCTGGGGTTCCCTGGGATTCCCGGGGTTCCTTGGAATTCCCGGGGTTCCCTGGGATTCCCGGGGTTCCCTGGAATTCCGGGCACATTCCCGTTTTTCCCAGGGGTGCCCTGAACTGGTACCGGAACATCAGAGCCAACTGGGAATGGGCCCTGCGCGCCCGACACCGCAAGGTGGGAACGGATCCCGAGCACGATCCCGGTCCCGATCCCCATCCTGATCCCAATCCCGATCCTGATCCTGATCCCGATCCCGATCCTGATCCTGATCCCAATCCCAATCCTGATCCTGATCCCGATCCCGATCCTGATCCTGATCCCAATCCCAATCCTGATCCTGATCCTGATCCCAATCCCAATCCTGATCCTGATCCCAATCCCGATCCTGATCCTGATCCCAATCCCGATCCTGATCCTGATCCTGATCCCGATCCCGATCCTGATCCCAATCCCGATCCTGATCCTGATCCCGATCCCGATCCTGATCCCAATCCCGATCCCGATCCTGAGCCTGAGCCTGAGCCTGATCCTGAGCCTGATCCTGATCCTGATCCCGATCCAGATCCCAGTCCTTGTCCCAGTCCTGATCCTGATCCTGATCCCAATCCCGAACCTGATCCTGACCCTGATCCCAGTCCTGATTCCAGTCCCTATCCTGATCCTGATCCCGGTCCTGATCCCAATCCTGGTCCTGATCCTGATCCCAATCCCAATCCTGATCCTGATCTTAATCCCAGTTCCAATCCTGGTCCCAATCCTGACCCTGATCCCAGTCCCAATCCCCATCCTTATCCTGATCCCAGTCCTGACCCTGATCCCAGTCCTGATCCTGATCCCGGTCCCAATCCAGATCCTGATCCTGATCCCAGTCCCGATCCTGATCCTGATCCTGATCTTAATGCCAGTTCCCATCCCCATCCCTGATCCTGATCCTGACCCCCATCCTGATCCCCATCCCAATCCTGATCCCTGTCCCGATCCTGATCCTGATTCTCATCCTGATCTTAATCCCAGTTCCAATCCCGATCCCAATCCTGATCCCGCTCCTCATCCCAATCCCAGTCCCAATCCTGATTCCAATCCCCATCCCCATCCTGATCCCAATCCCAGCCCTGATCCTGATCCCAATCCTGATCCCGATCCCAGCCCTGATCCCAGTCCTGATCCCGATCCCAATCCTGATCCCGATCCCAGCCCTGATCCCGATCCCAATCCTGATCCCGATCCCAGTCCTGATCCCGATCCCAACCCTGATCCCGATCCCAATCCTGATCCCGATCCCAATCCTGATCCCGATCCCAGCCCTGATCCCGATCCCAGCCCTGATCCCGATCCCAGTCCTGATCCCGATCCCAGCCCTGATCCCGATCCCAGTCCTGATCCCGATCCCATCCCCCCCACCCCGGATCCCATCTGGATCCCCTGGGGATCCCCCATTTTCCCTCCTTTCCTGCTGGATCCCCCCAATTCCCTGCTGGATTCCCTCGGGATCCCCCAAATCCCATTTTCCCCCTCGGGATCCTCCAGGGATCCCCCATCCCCATCCCCATTATTCCCATCCCCATCCCAATTCCCATCATTCCCACTATTCCCATTGTTATTCCCATTATTCCCACCGGTATTCCCGCTGTTTTTCCTGGTGTCATTCCCGCTGTTGTTATTCCCGTTATTCCCGGTGTTATTCCCGCTGTTCCCATTCCCGCTGTCATTATTCCCAGTGTTCTCATTCCTCTTCTTGTCATTCCCGCTCTTCCCATTCCCATCATTCCCACTGTTGTTGTTCCCATCATTCCCGCTGTTCCCGGTATTCCCGCTGTCGTTATTCCCGGTGTTATTCCCGCTGTTCCCGGTGTTATTCCCGCTGTTCCTGTCATTCCCGGTGTCGTTATTCCCATTCTCATTCCCGCTGTTTTTCCCGGTGTTATTCCTGTTATTCCCGCTGTTCCTGTTATTCCCGGTGTCATTATTCCCGGTGTTATTCCCGGTGTTCCCATTCCCGCTGTTCTCCCCGTTATTCCCGCTGTTGTCATTCCCTCTGCTCCTGGTGTTATTCCCATTATTCCCGCTGTTGTCATTCCCGCTGTCGTTATTCCTGGTGTTATTCCCGTTCTCATTCCCGCTGTTTTTCCCGGTGTCATTCCCGTTATTCCCGGTGTTATTCCTGTTCTCATTCCCGCTGTTCTCCCCGTTATTCCCGCTGTTGTTATTCCCGCTGTTGTTATTCCCGGTGTTGTTCCCGCTGTTCCTGGTGTTATTCCCGCTGTTCCTGTTATTCCCGGTGTTATTCCCGGTGTTCCCATTCCCGCTGTTCTCCCCGTCATTCCCGCTGTTGCTATTCCCGCTGCTCCCGGTGTTATTCCCGCTGTTCCTGTTATTCCCGGTGTCATTCCCGTTACTCCCGGTGTTATTCCCGCTATTCCCGCTGTTCCTGTCATTCCCGGTGTTATTCCCGTTCTCATTCCCGCTGGTTTTCCCGGTGTCATTCCCGCTGTTGCCGTTATTCCCGCTGTTGTCATTCCCTCTGCTCCCGGTGTTATCCCCGTTATTCCCGCTGTTCCCGTTATTCCCGGTGTTATCCCCGTTCCCATTCCCGCTGTTCCCGGTGTTGTTCCCGCTGTTCCCGTCATTCCCAGCCGCGTCTCCCGGCGCTGTTGGTGACGGCCGGGAAGGATCCGGTGCTGGCGCCCGCCCTCAGCCACGGCATGGAGAGCTGGGTGAGAGAGACGGGAATTCCCGGAATTCCGCGGGGAAAAATGGGAATTCTGGGGGGGAAAAATGGGAATTCTGGGGGGGAAATGGGAATTCTGGGGGGAAAAATGGGAATT